GTAATTACCATGTGTAGTAGTACCCCAGTGATCACCATGTGCAGTAGTACCCCAGTGATCACCATGTGTAGTAGTACCCCAGTGATCACCATGTGTAGTAGTACCCCAGTGATCACCATGTGTAGTAGTACCCCAGTAATTACCATGTGTAGTAGTACCCCAGTGATCACCATGTGTAGTAGTACCCCAGTAATCACCATGTGTAGTAGTACCCCAGTGATCACCATGTGTAGTAGTACCCCAGTAATCACCATGTGCAGTAGTACCCCAGTAATCACCATGTGTAGTAGTACCCCAGTGATCACCATGTGTAGTAGTACCCCAGTAATTACCATGTGTAGTAGTACCCAGTGATCACCATGTGTAGTAGTACCCCAGTGATCACCATGTGCAGTAGTACCCCACTAGTCACCATGTGCAGTAGTACCCCAGTGATCACCATGTGTAGTAGTACCCAGTGATCACCATGTGTAGTAGTACCCAGTGATCACCATGTGTAGTAGTACCCCAGTAATCACCATGTGTAGTAGTACCCCAGTAATTACCATGTGTAGTAGTACCCCAGTGATCACCATGTGCAGTAGTACCCCAGTGATCACCATGTGTAGTAGTACCCCAGTGATCACCATGTGTAGTAGTACCCCAGTGATCACCATGTGTAGTAGTACCCCAGTAATTACCATGTGTAGTAGTACCCCAGTGATCACCATGTGTAGTAGTACCCCAGTAATCACCATGTGTAGTAGTACCCCAGTGATCACCATGTGTAGTAGTACCCCAGTAATCACCATGTGCAGTAGTACCCCAGTAATCACCATGTGTAGTAGTACCCCAGTAATTACCATGTGTAGTAGTACCCAGTGATCACCATGTGTAGTAGTACCCCAGTAATTACCATGTGTAGTAGTACCCAGTGATCACCATGTGTAGTAGTACCCCAGTGATCACCATGTGCAGTAGTACCCCACTAGTCACCATGTGCAGTAGTACCCCAGTGATCACCATGTGTAGTAGTACCCAGTGATCACCATGTGTAGTAGTACCCAGTGATCACCATGTGTAGTAGTACCCCAGTGATCACCATGTGTCGTAGTACCCCAGTGATCACCATGTGTAGTAGTACCCAGTGATCACCATGTGTAGTAGTACCCCAGTAATCACCCTGTGTAGTAGTACCCCAGTAATCACCATGTGTAGTAGTACCCCAGTGATCACCATGTGTAGTAGTACCCCAGTAATCACCATGTGCAGTAGTACCCCAGTAATCACCATGTGTAGTAGTACCCCAGTGATCACCATGTGTAGTAGTACCCCAGTAATTACCATGTGTAGTAGTACCCAGTGATCACCATGTGTAGTAGTACCCCAGTGATCACCATGTGCAGTAGTACCCCAGTGATCACCATGTGTAGTAGTACCCCAGTGATCACCATGTGCAGTAGTACCCCAGTAATCACCATGTGTAGTAGTACCCCAGTGATCACCATGTGCAGTAGTACCCCAGTGATCACCATGTGTAGTAGTACCCCAGTGATCACCATGTGCAGTAGTACCCCAGTAATCACCATGTGTAGTAGTACCCCAGTAATCACCATGTGTAGTAGTACCCAGTGATCACCATGTGTAGTAGTACCCCAGTAATCACCCTGTGTAGTAGTACCCCAGTAATCACCATGTGTAGTAGTACCCCAGTAATCACCCTGTGTAGTAGTACCCCAGTAATCACCATGTGTAGTAGTACCCCAGTAATCACCCTGTGTAGTAGTACCCCAGTAATCACCATGTGTAGTAGTTCCCCAGTAATTACCATGTGTAGTAGTACCCCAGTAATCACCATGTGCAGTAGTACCCCAGTAATCACCATGTGTAGTAGTACCCCAGTAATCACCCTGTGTAGTAGTACCCCAGTGATCACCACGTGTAGTAGTACCCCAGTAATTACCATGTGTAGTAGTACCCCAGTGATCACCATGTGTAGTAGTACCCCAGTGATCACCATGTGTAGTAGTACCCCAGTAATTACCATGTGTAGTAGTACCCCAGTAATCACCCTGTGTAGTAGTACCCCAGTGATCACCATGTGTAGTAGTACCCAGTGATCACCATGTGTAGTAGTACCCCAGTGATCACCATGTGTAGTAGTACCCCAGTGATCACCATGTGTAGTAGTTCCCCAGTAATTTCCCTGTGTAGTAGTACCCCAGTGATCACCATGTGTAGTAGTACCCCAGTGATCACCATGTGTAGTAGTTCCCCAGTGATCACCATGTGTAGTAGTACCCCAGTGATCACCATGTGTAGTAGTACCCCAGTGATCACCATGTGTAGTAGTACCCCAGTGATCACCATGTGTAGTTGTACCCCAGTGATCACCATGTGCAGTAGTACCCCAGTGATCACCATGTGTAGTAGTACCCCAGTGATCACCATGTGTAGTAGTACCCCAGTGATCACCATGTGTAGTAGTACCCCAGTGATCACCATGTGTAGTAGTACCCCAGTGATCACCATGTGCAGTAGTACCCCAGTGATCACCATGTGTAGTTGTACCCCAGTGATCACCATGTGTAGTAGTTCCCCAGTGATCACCATGTGTAGTAGTACCCCAGTAATCACCATGTGTAGTAGTACCCCAGTGATCACCATGTGCAGTAGTACCCCAGTGATCACCATGTGTAGTAGTACCCCAGTGATCACCATGTGTAGTAGTACCCCAGTGATCACCATGTGTAGTAGTACCCCAGTGATCACCATGTGTAGTAGTACCCCAGTGATCACCATGTGTAGTAGTACCCCAGTGATCACCATGTGTAGTAGTACCCCAGTGATCACCATGTGTAGTTGTACCCCAGTGATCACCATGTGCAGTAGTACCCCAGTGATCACCATGTGTAGTAGTACCCCAGTGATCACCATGTGTAGTTGTACCCCAGTGATCACCATGTGCAGTAGTACCCCAGTGATCACCATGTGCAGTAGTACCCCAGTAATCACCATGTGTAGTAGTACCCCAGTGATCACCATGTGTAGTAGTACCCCAGTGATCACCATGTGTAGTAGTACCCAGTGATCACCATGTGTAGTAGTACCCCAGTGATCACCATGTGTAGTAGTACCCCAGTGATCACCATGTGTAGTAGTACCCCAGTGATCACCATGTGCAGTAGTACCCCAGTGATCACCATGTGTAGTAGTACCCCAGTGATCACCATGTGTAGTAGTACCCCAGTGATCACCATGTGTAGTAGTACCCCAGTGATCACCATGTGTAGTAGTACCCCAGTGATCACCATGTGTAGTAGTACCCCAGTAATCAGCATGTGTAGTAGTACCCCAGTAACTTCCCTGTAATCGGGTAATTTGTATAGGGTAAGGGTAAAAGGTGGGGTAAAGGGAGTCTTGTTTTTTTTACCGTTTAACTTTGACCTTACCTTGCCGAGGGCTATGTAACAGCAATAACACCGCGTTATGTTTGCAAGTCGCTGTTCTTGCAAGTCGCAGATTAAGCCTCGCGGCACACGGAGGCACGGAAGACGCCGCAGCCAAAGTGGGAGGCAGTCAGAACCGGCGCCAATAATTGCAAACGATAGTCGTGATATTGGGATGCTTGACCAACTCCATTCTCGAGTGTTGTTGATGCACGTGGGAGGGAACCAGAGTACACCCACGGAAACATCGCGTGCGCCAGAGGCCGCGCTCTCCATTGCCAGGGCCGCGTGGCCACTGACGGCCCCCGACACAGTCAAGGAGACACAAACAGTGAAAACAGCCCTCTCCCCATATTATCAAACGTGCGGCGTCCCTCCTCGCACTGACGATGTCTTATCGGCGAAAGTGGGCCCTCCTGTGAAGATGACGAGTCAAGAACATTGCGCTAAGGGGTAACGCCGCTAACGGAGGTGCTCAACCTGGCGAGGGAGCGAAGAGACGCAGAGAAGGGCTGCGTGCAGAACGAGAGAGAGCCAGAGAGAGAGAGCCAGAGAGCCAGAGAGAGCCAGAGAGAGAGAGAGGTGGGGGTTTAACATAGAGCCAAGTTTAAAAATGTAAAAAAAATTACGAAATGATGAACGAAGCAAAGTACCGAATACACCGAGCATCTTCTTGTTTCCACTGATCGTAAACAAAACGAGACAGAGAAAGGGGTTAGTGGGGGAGAGACAGTGCGAGTGCGACGTACGGGCGTGCCGGGATGACGGTCTCTTCCAGCAGCTCGGCCAGCTCATCGAGTCCTCGAAAAGCATTTCGTGGACAGACACGAGCGCAGGTAGCGAGAGACGCGACGAGATGGTGACCACCGGGACACGGACGAGACACGGGCACACGCTGACGCCGCAGTCAAGGAGACGTGACGCGTCACTCGCAATGAGGCTGAGCCACGAGACGCAAAGTCGCGCTCACCGGCGGTGACGTCACAGCGCGCGGCGGTGACGTCACAGCGCGCGGCGGTGACGTCACAGCGCGCGGCGGTGACGTCACAGCGCGCGGCTGTGGGCGGAAGTAGGCGGGGGACGTCCGTTGGTGACGTCACGCGATTTTGGCGCGTCCATTCGAGGCACAGGAAACCAGGAGATCCAGTCCGGGCAAAGGGAATCCAGTCCGGGTCATAGGAAGTCAACACAGGCAGACCGAGTCCAGTCCAGGAACAGTGAATCCGGTCAGGGCATAGGAAGTCCAGTCCGGGCATAGTGAGTCCACTCCGGGCATAGGAAGTCCAAGTCCGGGCATAGTGAAAGTGAGTCCAGTTCGGGCACAGGAAGTCCAGTCCGGGCACAGTGAATCCAGTCCGGGTCACAGGAAGTCCAGTCCGGGCACAGTGAATCCAGTCCGGGCATAGGAAGTCCAGTCCAGGCACAGTGAATCCAGTCCGGGTCACAGGAAGTCCCCACAGGCGGAGCGAGTCCAGTCCAGGCAGAGTGAATCCAGTCCGGGTCACAGGAAGTCCCCACAGGCAGAGCGAGTCCAGTCCAGGCACAATGAGTCCAGTCCGGTTCACAGGAAGTCCAGTCCGGGTCACAGGAAGTCCAGTCCGGGCACAGTGAATCCAGTCCGGGTCACAGGAAGTCCCCACAGGCAGAGCGCGTGGAGTCTGTTGGGGGGGAGTGACGTTTCTGCTGTTCCCGCTTCACGGCAAAAGTGGCGCTGTGCAGGTGAGCAGAGAGCAGCCACTCACCCATGTGTAGAGTCACATTCGTGAGTCTGTGGGGAGTGGGTGGGGGGTGAGTGGGTGGTGGGGTGAGTGTGTGGGGAGTGGGTGGTGAGTGGGGTGAGTGGTGGGGTGAGTGGGTGATTGGGTGAGTGGTGGGTGAGTGGTGGGGTGAGTGGGTGGTGGGGTGAGTGGTGGGGTGAGTGTGTGGTGAGTGGGGTGAGTGTGTGGGGTGAGTGTGTGGTTGGGTGAGTGGTGGGTGAGTGGGTGGTGGGGTGAGTGGTGGGGTGAGTGTGTGGTGAGTGGGGTGAGTGTGTGGGGTGAGTGGGTGGTGGGGTGAGTCTGTGGGGAGTGGGTGGTGGGGTGAGTGGTGGGGTGAGTGTGTGGTGAGTGGTGGGGGGGTGAGTGGTGGGGTGAGTGGTGGGTGAGTGGGGTGAGTCTGTGGGGAGTGAGTGGTGGGGTGAGTGAGTGGTGGGGTGAGTGGTGGGGTGAGTGTGTGGTGAGTGGGGTGAGTATGTGGGGTGAGTGTGTGGGGAGTGGGGTGAGTGTGTGGTGAGTGTGTGGTGAGTGGGGTGAGTCTGTGGGGAGTGGGTGGTGGGGTGAGTGGTGGGGTGAGTGTGTGGTGAGTGTGTGGTGAGTGGGTGGTGGGGTGAGTGGGGTGAGTGGTGGGGTGAGTGTGTGGTGAGTGGGGTGAGTGGGGTGAGTGGTGGGGTGAGTGGGTGGTGGGGTGAGTGGGTAGTGGGGTGAGTGGTGGGGTGAGTGGTGGGGTGAGTGGGTGGTGGGGTGAGTGGTGGGGTGAGTGGTAATTTTAATACGCGTTGTCTTTTAAAGTGATTGCTCTACACTCGAGCCCGCAGCCTGCTTGAAGGCCTCGTCTCACCGCCGGTGTCAGACCAGAGAACAACCCCTAAGACGAGCGGTACAAGCGCAAGGCGCTGTCCTGCAGTGTTGGGTAAGTGCCGTTGATAATCGATTATCCGCGCTGCTGCTGCTTCCAACGTTATCCGGCAGTCCCGAGCCGATCCGGTGAAACCGCTCCAAAGATCGGCGCTGTTTGCGTGACAAAAAAACAAGCTTCGCTTGATTTCAGTGTCAAATGTATTATATAACTTATAGACTACATGGAACTTAATGAAGATACTGCACTTGAAGACGAGATTAGAGTGGTAAGTACGGTACCGTAAATACGCTAACCTTTAAAGTAGGACATTTATTTATGCCAATTTCACATAGTGAACAAATGTAATGCACTAAACAGACATATGACAACAGCTACAGACATAATGCCGTGCAATAATGTGCAAAAATAAGCAGCTAAAATTATGATGATTAGTGATTATCGATCGGAATTTTTGTTATTCTGTCTCTCACTGTTCAAATAAACCTACCATTAAAATTATAGACTGATCATTTCTTTGTCAGTGGGCAAACGTACAAAATCAGCAGGGGATCAAATACTTTTTTCCCTCACTGTACGTTGAACTTCTATTGCACCCTACGTGGCCAACCGCGATAATTGGAGGTGCGGGGGAAGGACAACAAACTACACACACAAGAAGCAGTTCTAGAGAAATGAGTTTGCCAATCGAGATGAATTGAAAGTTGCACAGCTCCTAACGTCGGAAGGAAGAGCGTTCCAGACGGCCGCAGAAGCTCATCTGAAAGCGCCGCGTGACGACCACCGTCTCGAAGTGAAGCCTCTCCGTGCCGACGTGCCCCGAATGAGACGAATCCCAGTCCAGAATGTGTTGCCTGCCGTACGTCTGCAAGTCGCGACTGAACACCTCAAAAGTGTTGCCACCTTTTGGCGTCATCTGGTCCAACCCATGTGAGACTAGGCTCTAAGGAAAGCTGTCTCGGGTGTGGACCAATCAACTTCAAGGACAGTGCATACATTATCAGAGTTATGTTTTTGTTTGCATTATGACTGCAGGTATTGTGGTCTATGCAAACATGACTCCTCGTAAAAAAGGTGTCAGTTTTGTTGCCAGATAAAAGGGTAAAAAACAAATTATCATATTTTTTACTGGCAAATGAGGTTCCAATAGTGTTGCTGCAAGTTTTAACATGAACCGTGCTGAGATTTATTTTTTAAACAAAACGAAATTTTGTGTTTTTTGCCTTTTCAGGGAAGGTGTGACCACTGGTCAAGTTTAGCTGAAAGAGCCGATCGATAAAAGGTCCCATTCGTCTTTCCCAACCGCTCTTCACCTCACGTCCGGTGACCATGAATCCGTCTCGCGGCGGGAGAAGCCGCCTGAACCACCGCCACCACCGCCGCCACCACCAGCTGGAAGAGGAGGAGGAGGAAGTCTCGCTCCGCGCCAGCTCCGCCTGCGCCGCAGACGACCTCCTCGGCAGCGGCGGAAAGCCGTCGCCTCCGTTGGCGGCGGGGGAACGGGCTCGCCAGAGTCCAGCGCGGCGCCCGAGCGACTCTCACCGCGCAGCGCTCGGAGAGCAGGCGGCGGCGCGTGAGGCCCGTCTGGAACGCACCGGCAGCAGCGGCGCCGTCGTTCGCAAGCGCTCCGACAGCGCGGGGTGCGGCGTGGGTGTCCAGGAGCTGGCGCCGGAGGCGAGGTGCTCGCGGGGCGGCGGTGGCGAGGAGGACGTGGCCGCCTCGAGACGGAGCGCCGGAGAGAAGGAGGCGCAGCTTCTCCGCAGGCTGAAGTCTGCATTGGTCGTGTCGGAAGTGGACGGGGCTCAGCTGCGGGCTCGCTGCGAGCGCCTGGAGGACGACCTGAGCGAGAGCGTGAGGACGGGGTTGGCCGCCTGGCACGAGGCGGACAGGCGGGCGGTGCGCTGCCGGCAGCTCCAGCGCGAAGTGCGGCAGCTGCGGGAGTCGCTCGGAGCCCTGCAGGAGGTGAGAGAAAGCGCCATCGTCTCATCGTCGCTCTCTCCTCGCCTGATGTCTGCTCATAGTGCTGAACGGTCTGAGTGTGATTCATGACTGGATCGGCCATAATGCGCCCGAGTTTGTGACACGTAAGAAGCCGGGACTCATGGCGGGGCTACGTGCTGGATCCCACGTCCATGCCCCTCGCCTTCGGAAACTCCCGTTGACCAGTCCGGCGAAGTATGAACAGGGCCTCACCGATCCAGCGGATTGACAAAGGGCTTTGCATGGATTTCCTTGCCGTATAAATAATTGAAATTCTGCCTATTACCAAATCACGCTAAATGCACCTGATCTCATCAGATCTCAGAGGCTAAGCAGAGTTGAACCTGGTTAGTACTTGAATTCTAAGACCTTCAGAGGTCAGAATAAGGTGGTGTTGAGTGTGACACTTTTGTATTTGTGGGTTGTTTTCTCTGGGTGCCGTTTTTTTGTTTTCCCCACACGAAGCCAAACACTCGTGGTATTAGCAAAAAGGATTGCAAAGCGTCACGCTCCAGCAAAAGTCTTGAGACTCAGTGGGGCTTTGCCGAGCACTATTTGCCACACGTCAACACGTTCCTTCGGAGTGGGCAGGTAGGAACTTGGTTGGACAGCGCATTCGTGCACGACAGACAGACACATAATCCCTGGTGGGCAAGTGTGGCCCCTGCTGTTCCTCTACCTGTGTGTGTACAAGATCACGTGACTTGAGGTAGCCAGGCAGACAGCCCCCTTCACTATCGGCCCCTCCCCCTTGCTTAGTCCCCTCCCATTACCCCCCATCCCTTAGGCCCCTCCCCTGACCCTCCTCCCTTAGGCACCTCCCCTCTCCGTACCCGGCAGGAGGTCTCCACCAATCAAAGAGCTGTGTGTATTATATATTTATTTATGCACGACAGACAGACAGTCAGACAGACAGACAATAAATCCCTGGTGGGCAGTGTGGAACATTGTTCCTACCTGTATTAACATCGTGGTGTACAGGGACTCCTCTACTTACAAACATTCGACTCGCGAACTTTGAGAGATACGAAAAAAACCTGTTCGTATGTCCAGTTGCCTGTTGGGACCTCCGAGTGGCATCTACAGGAGATGATACAACTTGTAAACGTGAGAATTATTTTAATGTGTTTAATTTTTATTATTTTATTACTTCCCTTCTACGTGACTTTACCGAAAGAACAAAGAAGTTGTAAACCCATGCCACGTGTTGAGTGTACACGCCGTACAACATGCTGGGAATCGACAGGAGTAGAGTTGGACTTTCGAACAAATCGACTTACGAACAGACCTCTGGAACCGAACTCGTTTGTAAGTAGAAGAGTCCCTGTATACTGAAGTAAGATCAAATAGGGAAAATAATAATACTACTGTATACTATAGTATGTTGAACGTCTTTCGCACCATACGTAGCACCAATTGGGTTGAGGCTCAACAGAAAGCCGTCCCTTGGTGTGGACCAATCAGTTTCAAAGACAATGTCAATATATTATCATAGCGTGTTTTTTTTTTGCATTTTGACTGCAAGTATTGTCGTGAATGCGGACATGAATCCTTGTAAAAAGGTTTCAGTTTTGTTGCCAGAGAAAAGGTGGAAAAACCCATTGTTATACTTAGTTAAGGTTAGTATCTCAAAGCATCAACACAGGTTGGTTTGCAAGCGTTAATGGTCGGGGAATTGCTGCGTCAATCTGTTGACAACTGTAACGCGAGGTTGGCTGTTTGCTTGCGAAGGTTGTGAGTGCGGCGAAGATCCAGGCGTCGGAGTGCCGCAGGGACCTTCACGCGGTGCGGCTGCAGCAGCAGCAGCTGCAGCTGCTGAGGGCGCGGGAACAGGAAATGAAACAGGAAATGAAATCGCAGCTGCATCAAGCGTCGCAGGAGTTTTTGCTGCAGGAGGCCGAGCGGCACGGGGAGATGGAGCAGCGCTACAAGTCGGCGCTGGCGGAGCTGCAGGCCGCATTCTTGTGGACGCGCCAACAGCTGCAGACGGAGCGGCAGGCGCGCCGCCGAGATGTGGCGTCCCTGGAGTTGCTTCGACGGCACCTTCTCGACCTGTAGGCCCCCAGGTTGACGACTGGTAACGTTGTAAACACGTTAACATGAAGACGTGTCCTCGGTTGCAGATCGTTCTAGTTGTGTTACGTGGACAGGTTGGTAAAATCAAATGTTTAATGTTAATGAGACCTATTGTATTCTTGCTTCTTTCAGTAAAGTCACGTAGAAGGGAAACAATAAAATAATTAAAATCAAATTATCACGACGTTTCGATTGCAACACAAGCAATCATCGTCAGATGTGAAAACCACAGCAAGAAAATTTGAAAAAAGTGGCGTTTTTTTTTTTACGTCAGCACCACAGACAGCAACTGGCGGTTGTTCAAACGGAGGAGTCCATCTATGCTCGGAACTTGGTAGGACTCTCCACAGATGAAGCTTCAAATCTAGAAAGAATGGCACGTGGTGCTGACGTGAAGAAAAAATCGCCACTTTTTTCAAATTTTCTTGCCGTGGTTTTCACACCTGACGATGATTGCTTGTGTTGCAGTCGAAACGTCGTGAGAATTGTATTTTATTTGTATTATTGTATTATTTCCCTTCTACGTGACTTTACCGAAAGAACCAAGAATATGAATCTTCCGCAGTCACGAAAGCTTTGAATCGAAATGTAAGACTTGTCGTTGTCATATTAATCTCAAATGAGCGTTGGCGGAGCTCACAAATGTTGTGAGACACCCCGTTGTATGACATTGTGTTGCCGTGCCATGTCGGTGTGGTGTTGTGCAATGGTGTGGGCTGGGGTGCATTATGGGGTGGGTGGGTAGGGTCTGATGGGGCTTTGGTGTGATGGTGTTACCGCAGTGGGCTGTGCCCTACAGAGTTGGGTGTTGAGATCGGAATGTGCCGGATCTCGCAAGACGACCACCACCACCACACAGAGGCGTGCTAGCGGCTGTTGGGCTACCTTGTGGCAGCAGGTCGCTCTTTACTTAAACATCTACCAGTGCATTTCTTACCTGCGTAGTCAATTTCCCAAGCAATTTTTTGTCATTTCAACCACTTTATTTCAGAAAAAAAGTGAACAGGAAACCCAAGCGTGCCACTTTTCCCATAATTCCCCTCACGACTCGTTCCACACTCCGCCTCCCCTTAACTCCCCATTAGCCCATTCTATTTCAAGCGGCGGCAATGATGCACTCAAGAAATGATGGATTCAAGAGTTTGGGTGAAGTCCAGTCAACATGGATGGGATTTGACAAGGTAGGCTGAGTAAAAGTTGTAAATCGGTGACTCGAGATGGCACGCGTGGCTGAGACTCTGACTCTAAGATTCAAACACACAAACGTTCATGGTTTTTTTCAGAAAAAAAAATTTTCAGAAGAAAAAAAAATCTGCATTGTAAATAATTTGTGTCAATGTTGAGTCAAAGTCAAGGCCCCAGCCAAAGTGGAATGACAAGCTGCCACAGGGCATAACGCCACATGGTACGATGCAGTCCGGTTGGTTCAAGACGTGTCCCCCATCGCTGCTGTTGTGCTCATTCTGGGAGGTCGATATGGTGCTGCTGACATCCGACAGCGCCACCTCCTGCACTCACAGACAAGGACACCCACAGACACAGAACCAGAGACAACAACAACAACAAGCGCCACTAAGTGGCGGTGACGTCACCACGGCGCTTGTACCAGGCTATGTGCGCCTTGAGGCCACGTGAAGTGAAACCACAAAGGACACACGTCCATAGACACACACGGCCACACATTTGCACACTGCACGTTTGATGTTACACCAAAAAAAATTGTATTTCTGACATTGTATTGAAAAACTGTATAATGCTAATGTAATGTTTTATAAAAAAAAACGTGTCACCCATTGGAGAGTGAACCTGTACTATGGACATTTCTTTGAAGAGGTATTCAGTACAAATTGACTGTTGTTTGTTGCTGTATATTTGGACCCGAGTGGGATAAATACCCCCCCTTGGCTAAACAATATTTTCACGCCTTAAGATGCAGAGACACGCACGGTCAGGATGGAGGGCTACGCCGTGGGTTCCTCAGCATCCGTCAACGTCTCTCAGGGTCGCACCGCCCCGGAGTCAGGAAGCCCCAAACTCGGGAACAGGTGGCACTGCTCATTAAAAAAAAAATCTTAAATTTTATTAATAAAGTAAAAAAAGATTGTACATACACAATCACCAGGGGCAGCAGGGGCTGCCGTTCGAGGCCCTGGATTTTGAGTGGTCCACAGAACATCTCCCGCTTTATACCAGTTGACAATTCTGTCGCACGAGGATATACCCAGGAGGGCAGCGGAGGCCAATACGTGGATCGCGATTCATGGGCGGATCGCAAAATATTTGTTGTTTGTGGATCTCAGGATAAATCGGCACGTACGCCATCATAAGCAGACGGACATTTTCGTGATGGCCGATGGCCAAAATAAAGCCTCCAAGAATCCATATGTCGTGAGTTCAAGGAGACGTAGACGACGTAGTCGGAGGCACACTTATTGATTATAACTTCACACTCAGCACAGGCCAATGTATTCAGCACTCGAAGGGGTGACGGCCCCTTCACCCGTCTCACAGGGAGACCCCACTGTCTCCAACCCGGCTAGCCTACTCCCAGCTCCTCCACTCGAGAGCTAGGGGAGGCTAGCTGATCCCGCTCTGGCCAAGCTGGGATCACGGCACCCTGAGTCACCAGACCGGCTCTTACAAGAACATCGGCTCTGGGCTCTTGGGGCCACGCCACTGGCTTGCCCTGGTCGGTCCTGAGAAGGACAGCGATCCAGGGGAGTCGCAGGGCCTATCTAGCCGGTCTTCTCTCTTCACTGGCTTAAGCTGAACACTGAACCCCGAGCCCTCCGGCTCACCGCCTTATATAGCAACTCCCCCCCCCGAGGGGTGGGGCCGTGGGGGATCACAGCGCCGTCACAGCCCCCCAGGGCTAAACGATGCGGACGTGGATGTACGCATCCTTCCGCGTGCGGGCACAAGCACCCCTGGTGTGTTTGTTCGCCCTCCCGTAACACCCCTACAGTAGTGTACTCGACTGGTTCATAATAAACAAACAAACAAGACGACAACAGCAATGCTGCCATGGAGGCGTGGCTAGCACACTGGACTTGTCGTCTAGAGGTTACCGCTTGAATGTAATCGATCTCTGGTCCACACGGAGTATAAATGGGTTCAGAGTTTAGCAAACTTGTGGCTATTCCCACCTCTTTCAAGGTGTCTGGCTATCGTGGAAGAGTAGACCAAAGGACGTCTCGTGCTACCTCCAGTGTAGTCGGTCTTTCTGCCAGGATTGGCGTGAAAAGGCAATTGAAGGGCTCCTTCTAATGGACACTAAAACAAACTAAAATCAGTTTTCTCGGTGCACGATGTACACGATGTTCTGTTGCTGCGCACGTGTGTTCCAACGAGCTGGGTCTGGGGATCCCAGTCGGCTGTGCAGAGCTGGATGAGATGTGAAGTTATGCCAAAGAGAATTCCCATCGCTCATTGACGGACATTCTGCACACTCACCATCTTGTGTATTTGAGACAAAATGCAAATCAATTTATAACATTTTGACATGCGTTTTTTAGGATTTTGTTGTTGTTATTCTGTCTCTCACTGTTCAAATAAACCTACCATTAAAATGATATAGTGATTATTTCTTTGTCAGTGGGCAAACGTACAAAATCAGCAGGGGATCAAATACTTGTTTCCCTCACTGTAGATGGAAAGTGTGTGGTGCTACCCTATGCTAGTGGAATGTTTGTGTTATTATTAGTAAATGCCTGTTGTGTGTGCAGTTTGTAGGGAAACTTTTGTGTGACATCGCCATATGATTCTATTGTGCAGAGAGGCCAGCCAGTAACATTCTTCTTAGACAACTCAAGTCTTTTTATTGTTCATGTTGGGACTGCATGTCGAATTCAATGCCTCGAATTCAGCGCTCCGAATTCAATGCCCCGAATGTATTGCCTGTATTTGCCTGCAGTGGTGAATTTTGCAAGCTGAAGGGGAGAGAGAGAGAGACGCCCCAGCATGCAGCAGCCCAACACGGACACTCGTGCTTGGGGTCACGAGCAGCTGCGACAAAGCAGTCGCGCTCAATAATAAATTTAAAAAATGTGTTTTTATTCATCAACAGAAATGTGACTGCGTGTGTACCCGACGGCAGTACAAGTCGTGCTATTGCATCTTCAGCAATGTTTTGTTGATTTTCAATTTGTTGAGTGTGCAGTTATTCAATGACATTAAAACATTTAATAGATATTCAGTACTTACAGGTATTTTACTTAAAGCCACAGGACCTGTTTTAATAACTGAACTTGTGAAATTGCATTTGCAATTTAGATTTTTGCTTTCTCATCTGCTACCCAAAATCGACTTGTATTTTTAAAAGACATGTTTAACACGTGTAAGGCATTGGCGACCAACATTATTCATAATCAACGTTTTTGGGTGAGATCGCGTTATTTATAAATGTGTCGTCACCCTCCTCCACCCGACACGGCCAATCAAACGAGATCCAACTAATACTTTGGAACATAAGACTACTGCAATCATTGCAAATTCATCAATTCCGAAGAATGAGCAATTCCTAATTAAGCCAAGGACTTCAAAACCACCGAGACTGTATGGGCTACCACACACACAGACCTCACATCCGTTCGTTCGCTCGCCCACACACAGACCCCACATCCGTTCGCTGTTTATATTATCTATATGCACGACAGACAACCAATCCGTGGTGGGCAGTGTGGAACATATTGTCCCCACTACCTGCACCACGTGTTGTGTTGTACCAGCTGAAGCGCGCCGAGCTGCAGAGCAGAAGTGACGTGGCCACAAATGGCAGCGGGATTCCTTGTAGAAGATCCCACTTTGGTGTTTGAACATCTTGACGCAGCTGTTTTGTTGCCAGAAAAACCTCTCATCATATGTTGGTACTAACAAAGGAGGTCCCACGGTAAGGCTGTGTGGTAGCTCTTGGGGACTTCTTCAAAATCAAAGCACTTTTTAAAACATATCTAAAAAGTGATTTTGAACTTGCTTTGAATGAGGATTTAAACCACGTGGTATTTTTTTATTAGTTCTTTGCTCAAAATTTGTTACAATGTGATTTTTATTTTGCCTACAATTAAACTTGTATTGTTCATGCCTGCAAAGCATTTTTTTGCACGAAGTGCTATAGAAATGAAGCCACCTGGCCAGCCACAAATGATAGCCCACACCAAGTGGCAGATCGTCGTCGTCATCACTCGCGTGGGATAATCCGAACCGTGTGGTGATGTCGATTCCACGCGACCACGGGGAGAGAGTGAACACGCCAACTCCAAATATAGAGCAGCAGCAGCAGCAGGCGTCAGGGTCGGGTACGAACCCACGACCTCCTGCGTACCAGGCGAGTGAGTAAACATCTCCACGGGGAGAGAGTGGTGGTGGGTGGAGGGGTGAAAGTATTTCATTTCTGTCCAGAGTATCCCAGAACAAATCCAGAGTGTGGTGGTAAATAATGACAGACCCCACTTGTATATCCGGCAAACAGCAGCAACAATCATCAACATCATCACCACCACCACCACCATCAAATCATTTTCACCAGGCATTTTCCACAAGCGCAAACAAAAACAATCGTCTTAGCCCAACGTTTTACATTTTATTCGTTTTTTTTCCCGTTTTTTTCCCACCAAACGCAAACCTCCGCGCTCACCGATTCGCTCGCTCGCGTTCGAGAAATACACAACAACCACCTCCGCAGCACCTCCCCCCTCCCTCCCAAGATTGCAGTGGGCGGCTTTGGAGTCGTTGCGCACCGCGTCTCCTTCACCGGACATGGTGGCTGGTGGTTGTCGTTCTCTCGTCACCGTCGGAGGAGGGAGGGGAGAGGCAGGGAGGAGGAATGGGGCGGGTGGGAGGGGAAATGAAATTCACATGAGGCGGCACTTCCTCCTCTTCGATTTCTTTCTTTTCTTGCACACGTCTTTGCTCACGCGGCGCTCCTTGTACTTGCGGATCTCGCGCACCAGGGTGCAGAAGGCATCTTCCACGCCCTGCAGGACAGACGCACGCAGTGGCCGCCACCGGAGGGAGTTTGTTAGAGGGAGGGCCACGTGCTCTCGTACGGGACCGACTCGGCACGTACAGAGACGCGCAGACACGCAGACCCAACACGGGTAGTCTCACACAGGCAGACACGCAGACCCAACACGGGTAGCCTCACACACAGGCGGACACGCAGACCCAACACGGGTAGTCTCACACACAGGCAGACACGCAGACCCAACACGGGTAGCCTCACACACAGGCGGACACGCAGACCCAACACGGGTAGTCTCACACAGGCAGACACGCAGACCCAACACGGGTAGCCTCACACACAGGCGGACACGCAGACCCAACACGGGTAGTCTCACACACAGGCAGACACGCAGACCCAACACGGGTAGCCTCACACACAGGCGGACACGCAGACCCAACACGGATAGCCTCACACAGGCGGACACGCAGACCCAACACGGGTAGCCTCACATACAGGCAGACACGCAGACCCAACACGGGTAGCCTCACACACAGGCGGACACGCAGACCCAACACGGGTAGCCTCACACACAGGCGGACACTCAGACCCAACACGGGTAGCCTCACACACAGGCGGACACGCAGATCCAACACGGGTAGCCTCACACACAGGCAGACACGCAGACCCAACACGGGTAGCCTCACACACAGGCGGACACGCAGACCCAACACGGGTAGCCACACACACAGGCGGACACGCAAACCCAACACGGGTAGCCTCACACACAGGCGGACACTCAGACCCAACACGGGTAGCCTCACACACAGGCGGACACGCAGACCCAACACGGGTAGCCTCACACACAGGCAGACACGCAGACCCAACACGGGTAGCCTCACACACAGGCGGACACGCAGACCCAACACGGGTAGCCACACACACAGGCGGACACGCAGACCCAACACGCGTAGTCTCACACAGGCGGACACGCAGACCCAACACGGGTAGCCTCACATACAGGCAGACACGCAGACCCAACACGGGTAGCCTCACACACAGGCGGACACGCAGACTCAACACGGGTAGCCTCACACACAGGCGGACACGCAGACCCAACACGGGTAGTCACACACACAGGCGGACACGCAGACCCAACACGGGTAGCCTCACACACAGGCGGACACGCAGACCCAACACGGGTAGCCACACACACAGGCGGACACGCAGACCCAACACGGGTAGTCTCACACACAGGCAGACACGCAGACCCAACACGGGTAGTCTCACACACAGGCGGACACGCAGACCCAACACGGGTAGCCTCACACACAGACGGACACGCAGACCCAACACGGGTAGCCTCACACACAGACGGACACGCAGACCCAACACGGGTAGCCTCACACACAGACGGACACGCAGACCCAACACGGGTAGTCTCACACACAGGCAGACACGCAGACCCAACACAGCCCAGGCACGTGGGAACTCCCTGGACCGCCGGGTTCACGGCGCAGCGCACCACATTCCCACCGGCCGCCACTTATTCCCCCTGGCTACTCACCAACCCCCCCAGCTGCCCCCCCTCTCTCCCCCGGCGTCCGCGTGCCTGCCGGGTCTTGGCGGAGGTCTCCACGAAGGGGATGCCGTAGCCTTGCGCCAGCTCCTGCGCCTGCTTCGTGTCCACGGTCCGCGTGGGCACGCCGCACTTGTTCCCCACCAGCACCATCGGCACGTCCTCCGAGCCCTTGACGCGCTGGATCTGTTCCCTGCGCACGGAAGCCACGGCAGAGGTCGGGGTCTCAGTCCCCCTCCCCTGTAAATCATCCCTCCGATTCCCAAACCTTCCCCATGTTGTAGTTCTCCCTCCAATCTCCTCCTTCAAAGATCCCCCTGCCTCTGAACAAGTGCTTCTTAACCTTGACCGCAGCCTTGACATCCACTTTGTTTCTCAATAAGAAACACAGTGACGTAGAGTGTTGTTGACGAAACAAAGTTGCGTACTCACTTTGCCCCATGGCTTCATTTGTTTCGATTTACCTTCTGAATAAAATCTGGCCGCATCTCACAAGCCCTGGGGGTGGCGTGCACCCCAGATTACACAAGCACATCAACAACAACAAGCCACGACCGTCGTGACCGCTGACGATGCCTGTTGCTGCTGTATATTTGGAGTCTGCACGTCTCTCTCTCTCCCTCCCAACCAGCCCGACCGCTACGCCCCCCGTGTCTCTCTCTCTGTCTCCCTCCCAACCAGCCCCACCGTTACGCCCCCCATGTCTCTCTCTCCTCTCTCCCAACCAGCCCCACCGCTACGCCCCCCGTGTCTCTCTCTCCGTCTCCCTCTCAACCAGCCCCACCGCTACGCCCCCCCGTGTCTCTCTCTCTGTCTCCCTCCCAACCAGCCCCACCGCTACGCCCCACGTGTCTCTCTCTCTGTCTCCCTCCCAACCAGCCCCACCGCTACGCCCCCCGTGTCTCTCTCTCTGTCTCCCTCCAACCAGCCCCACCGCTACGCCCCACGTGTCTCTCTCTCTGTCTCCCTCCCAACCAGCCCCACCGCTACGCCCCCCGTGTCTCTCTCTGTCTCCCTCCCAACCAGCCCCACCGCTACGCCCCCCCGTGTCTCTCTCTCTGTCTCCCTCCCAACCAGCCCCACCGCTACGCCCCCCGTGTCTCTCTCTCTGTCTCCCTCCCAACCAGCCCCACCGCTACGCCCCACGTGTCTCTCTCTCTGTCTCCCTCCCAACCAGCCCCACCGCTACGCCCCCCGTGTCTCTCTCTCTGTCTCCCTCCCAACCAGCCCCACCGCTACGCCCCCCGTGTCTCTCTCTCTGTCTCCCTCCCAACCAGCCCCACCGCTACGCCCCACGTGTCTCTCTCTCTGTCTCCCTCCCAACCAGCCCCACCGCTACGCCCCACGTGTCTCTCTCTCCGTCTCCCTCTCAACCGTGGTCGCGTAGATTTGGCTGCTGCTAGTAGATTTCCACACGATGATAAGCCACTTCTAGTCGTGGTTATCATTTGTGATCGCTTTTGAAAACGAACTACACGGCTCGGTGCGGCCTTACCCGGCAAGATAACAACAATTCGTGTTCACTGCAATTGACTTGCTACAGTAGCTGCAGTCAGCCACCCAGCGACCCACCTGTACCGGTGGATGTCCTCGAAGGACTTGGAGTTGTTGACGGCGAAGACGCACAGGAAGCCCTCGCCCTCGTGCAAGAACTGCTCCAGCATGTCGCTGTACTCTTGCCTCCCGGCCGTGTCCAGGATGTCCAGCAGACAGGTCTCGCCATCGACCACCACCCGCTGCTTCGGGTACGAGTCCTGCGCCGAGGCACGCACGGAGAATACCCCCCCCCCCCCCATCCCCAACACCGGGAATGATTAGCCTCGCAGATGCGTCGCGCGACGTGGACGTGCCGTCGCAGCGTCGTCGCACGCCGGGGGCGTCGGGATGCTGCTGGATGTGAACCTGGGGGCGCATCTCGCCACCCCCCCCC